GTCCTCGTCTGAGAATTAGTGAAGACCTCCCTGCACTCCAGTGCAAGGGTAAAAGTCCTAACACTTTGGCTCACAAGAGCCCTTGTCAAGTCCATGGCATCACAGGCGGAGGCGTGCAGCTTCCATTGATCCGTCCAAAATTTGTAAAAACTTTCAGTAACGCCTCGGATCTTAGGTAGCAGAGCCTCCACCAAAGCTAGGGCCAGAGACTCCTCCCTTCCAACAAGGAAGCTTGGAGACTTCTCTTGCACTCGAGCAGGCCTCTGTTTGGCAGCCTCCTCCTCGGCCACCTTAGCTGCCTTCCTTATAACCTCTTCCCTCACCTCTTCAGCCTTAACATGCCTAACCATTTCAATTCTAACCGCTTCAGAGGTGACTTCTAGTAGCTTCAGCTGATCGATTTCTTTGCCTTCATGGGACACAGAAGTCCCAAATTTGCCAGACGAGCTGGAGATGTGTACCAGCTTCCTCTTCTTCGACTCATTAGGGAGTTTCTCCTTCCCCCAAGGCTTCTTGGACCTTTCTAGCCACTGGGGAGTCCCCTCTTTAGAAGCCCGTGATGTGATGTCCTTGGAGAGACGTTCAAGTCTACCTCAGACCTCCTTGGTGCCACTTGATCCCGGCTTTAGGGGCCTCACCTTCACAGTGGAAGTTACATTTAGTATGGACGCCATGTCAGGAGCTGGGTACTCCTTCCTCTTAAACTTGTCTACAAAATACAGTGCGTAAGTATCAAAACGAAAACACAAAAATATACAAGTGTGGGAGCTTCATACCCTTGGAGGTCATTAGTTCAAAATCGAGGAAATAGCGACTTCTGTTGATGAGGTGGTCAAAGTGGCAAAGCTTTAGAGGTTTCTTGTAAATGTCCTCTATCACTTCGAACTCCTCTCTGCTCAGCTCGAACCTCATACTACTATCTACAAAGGACACCTTAACAGTTAGAAAAATAAATTTTTTAATACAGATTACAAACTTGGGCTAGGAGACTCAGGAGCTTTGTAGTACTGGGTCGGTACTGTGCAAGCTAGGGCTTTGTCCCCCTCCACTGCCTGCCACCTGCCTCGTACCCAGAACCATGACTCCTTCCATCCCTTGATGGAAGAAGGATTCCCACAACAAATGGTGCATGAGCCCCCCCAAGGAGTTAGGTAATATTACCCCCTTGACTCCTTCCCTATCACCCTAGGCTGGAACAAGGTCATGAAGACGTGGAGAGGCATGTCCTCCCCAAGTGATACTTCCTTCCATAGAAAGTACGAGCCGACCAACTGGCTCCACCTATTTGGCAGAACCTGGGTCAGCGACAACATGAAGTTCCTCAGCACCACTCTAAAGAAGGGGTGTAGAGGAAGACACACACCTGTCTTAAACAGGTATTCACTCATTGCCACACAATCGGGCCTCGGATAACAAGCCCGCTCATTGGCTTCGGGAACTAACATTTCCACATAGTGAGGCACACAGTACCTCTCCCTAATCTTCCCCAGCCTTTTCCATGTCATATTTGAAGGCACCCTAGACGCCCCCCACTCTTTGCTATAATCTACTGGTTCCTCGGTCATAGCATATCTATCCACCTCGGAATCCCCCCTGTGACTGACCCTATGGCCCAACGACGCTACAGTGACCAACTCCCTACCCGAAGTGGACTCCATCTCAGACATGACTAAGAACACAATAAAAGGAGGGTTTTCTGTGAAAAATGCCTACTGAAAAACTACGCAAAAGTGCCGAAAAAGTAGTGAACGGACAGCTTCAACGCTAAAAAGTTTAAGAGAAGAAATCAGATGGCAAGTGCTGAAAATCCAGAAAAAGGGAGTTCTCTCGCCTTTTATAAAAGGCTAGGATGAACCCCCACCGTCAGATCAAAGCTCATTCAATCTGGACCATTCATTTTAAGTCAAATCCGAGGCGTAGAATTCAAATAGTTTTCTGAAACCTATGCCTCAGATTTAAGCCTGTCTCCCACGCACCTCAGACAACGCGTCTGCTTCTAGAAGCTCCAGCTGTTCTAATAATTATGATTTTAATTCGACAGCAGCATGCGCCTCTCCGAGGCGTAGAATTCAAATAGTTTTCTGAAACCTACGCCTCAGATTTAAGCCTGTCTCCCACGCACCTCAGACAACGCGTCTGCTTCTAGAAGCTCCAGCTATTCTAATAATTATGATTTTAATTCGACAGCAACATGCGCCTCGAAAGTTGCAATGGTTCAGCCACCTTTCCTCGAAAACATGCGCAAAACATCAAATCATTGGTACAATTGCCAAGGACAATTATTGTCAACCACCTCGACTTCATCTCCAACATTAAACCATCAAGCCTCGTAGGTTCGGTTCTCCAACCACCTCGACTTTATCTCCAATATTTAGCCATCAAGCTTCACAGGTTTGGTTCCCTAACCACCTCAGCTTCATCTCCAACATTCAGCCATCAAGCCTCGCAGGTTCGGTTTCCTAACCACCTCGGCTTCATCTCCAACATTCAGCCATCAAACCACGCAGGTTCGGTTCCCCAACCACCTCGGCTTCATCTCCAACATTCAGCCATCAAGCCTCACAGGTTCGATTTTCCAACCACCTCGGCTACATCTTCAACATTCAGCCATCAATCCTCGCAGGTTCGGCTACCCAACCACCTCGGCTTCTTCATCATTCATCCACAACATCACATTTCTAACTCCAACCATGATATAAATATCTACACTTGGACTTGGGGGACTATTATTTGGGGTTCAAAAATTCTTTCAATTTTTACCCAACCTACTGGCTTTACTTCATTAAAGTCCACGCATTATATAAATGACTATACTTGAACTTGGGGGACTATTGTTACGTGTTGTCATACTTGGCCAACCTACTTGGACATATGACCCACTCAATTCGAACCACGTGGCACTCTAGCCGAAGTGGTATGTATGGCCGAGGTCCTTCATGCCGAGGCCCATATACCGAAGCCTGTGAGGATAGCCAAAGCCCTAACGCGGAAGTATTATGTAAGTGGCAGAAGCTTCCGAACCATAAAGTAACGTCTTCCATGATCACTTCTCCCAAGAGATCTTCTACATAAATATCTTGTTTGAATGATTGATGGAACGTTTGTCATAAGTACACATGTCAAGTCTTATCATTAGCATGGGGGTTCTGCATAAACAATAAATGCGCAGTAAGCTAGCAAGTCAAGGATGATGCCTAGGATTGGATGTTTGGATTAAAGAGATGAGGCCACGTACCACCTCATCCAAGGGTTGCCATTTTATATGTATCACTATAAATACTTCCCTTGTGTAACATTAAAGGGCTAATGCAAGAATCACTACAAGAAACCACACTTTACTCTCTCATTCATATTATCTTACAATACTATACGAGTTCATACGTATTTACATGCACATTCATGAGCACCGATTGGTAATTATTGTACAATCGGATTAAGAACATCCTCTCGAATTTCGAACGTTCTCGTCCCGCATCGTTGAGCTACTCCCACGCCCCTAATTTGTTCGTCCTAAACCATCCACGTATCTTAGTGTGTAGGATCTTCGCTCACGTGTGCGCGGGTGTGTTCGACATCTGTTGGCAACATTTTTTTGTGTCAACATTTACCACGTTTGGATTAATCATTAATGGATTTGTATTTCTTAGAACATGGGTTTCAGACTTTCAACTTTATACTTTGTAAATTATAATATTTTGATTTTATTTTTTTGCAAATTGGTATGGAATCTATGGATAAATAATGGATTTGATTTAGTGATTCTTCTAAAATATGTTTGGTAGCAGTAGTTTGGATAATTTGATTCAATGTCAGTGAGTCTTCTAACTTGGTTATTTTTTGAATATGGTATAATTGGTATTTATTTATGTAATGTATTTGTTTTTTAACAGTCATGAGCCATGAAGAAATATTTTAAACGAAAATCCATATGTTCGAGCGAAGAGGAAATTATTTTTGAAACGAGTGTTCAAAAAGAAAAAGATGGTCGGAAAGAATTAAATACTGGGAGTAAAAGAGATGTTGGGGATAAAATTGATTTAGAACAACTACCTTCAGATCTTGGATTGCGAACACCAATTGTGAGTTATAGTATTAATGTTGAAGATGAAATTAGAAGAGCATATGTACAAAAGGGTCCATGTTAGCTTCGAAATCACTTGTGTCCATAGAAAGAATTTGGAGATTTGTCATTAAGACGATTTAAAACTTCTTGCTTTAATGATTTTCCTGCTTGGTTGGAATACAACATAGCAAAAGATGCCCTATTTTGCTTTTATTGTTACCTTTTCAAACCAAATTATGAATAACATGGTGGTGGTGATTCTTTTGTTGATGGAGGGTTCTCAAACTGAAAAAAGAAAGGAAGGCTTCAAATTCATGTTGGGAAAAGTGGTAGTGCACACAACCAAGCACGGATTAAGTATGAGGCTCTTGTGAATCAAAAACAAAATATTGATTGTATTCTCTTTAAGAAGTCAAAAAGAACAAAAGATGAGTATTAAATTCGTCTGAATGCATCAATTGATTGCATTCGATGGCTTCTATGACAGGGGCTTTCATTTCGTGGGCATGACGAATTTGAAGATTCAAGAAATCAAGGAAGTTTTCTTGAACTATTGTAGTGGTTATGTGATCATAATAAGGAAATTAATGATGTTTCTTTGAAGAATGCTCTAAAAAATTTTCCATTGACATCACCTAAAATTCAAAAGGATATTGTGAGTGCTATTGCATTTGAAAAACTTGATGTTATTATAAAGGATATTGGTGATGGGTTGTTTTCTATTCTTGTTGATGAATCTCAGGATGTATTAGTGAATGAGCAAATGTCAGTTGTTCTACGTTATGTGAATCAAAAAGGACAAGTCGTGGAATGTTTTATCGGTGTTGAACATGTCCCTAGTACCACAGCTTTCTCACTGAAGGATTCTATTGATCACTTATTCTCTAACTTGAGTATATCTAGTTTAAGAGGTCAAGGTTAAGAAAGTGCTAGTAATATGCAAGGTGAGTACAATGGTCTCAAAGCACTTATTTTGAAAGAGAATTCCAGTGCTTTCTATATTCATTGTTTTGCTCATGAGTTGCAGCTACCTCTTGTAGTTGTGGTAAACAAGCATGCAAATATTGAAACTTTCTTTACTTTAGCAAATAAAGTGGTAAATGTCGTTGGTGGATCGGCTAAGCGATGTGATTTTCTTCGACAAAAGAAGAGGCTTGAAGTTGTTGAATTATTGAATATTGGTGAAATCTTAAGTGGAAAGGGCCTTAATCAAGAGACTACTCTTCAATGACCCGGTGATACTCGTTGGGGCTCTCATTAGAGTTCTTTACATAGCTTGATTCTCATGTTTTCTACTACAGTTGATGTCATTGAGATGATTGCCACTGATGATACTAGTTGTGGAAAGCGAGGGAAAGCTCGTCTTTTGTTGGTATCTATGTTGACATTTGATTTTGTATTCAGTCTACATCTCATGAAAAAGGTATTGGGCATTTCAGATTAATTGTCAAAATCATTACAAAGGAGAGATCAAGATATTATCAATGCTATGAAATTAGTGACAATATGGAAAGAGCAAATCCAAACAACGAGGGACAATGAATCGGAATCATTTTTAAGAATAGTTTCCTATTTTTGCGAAAAGTACAACATTGATGTTCCCAACATGGATGATATTTTTATACCTCTAGGCCGTTCACGGCGTAACACGCAAGAAATGACAAATTTGCATAATTTTTGTGTGGATTTCTTCTATGCTATCATCGATATGCAAATTCAAGAGTTGAATGATCGTTTCTCTGAGGTAAATAGTGACTTACTCCTTTGTGTTGCATGCTTATGTCTGAATAATTCATTTTCTGCTTTCAAAAAGGACTACTTAATTCAGTTGTGTGAGTATTATCCCAAAGATTTTAAACCAGTAGAGATTTTGGCACTTGAAGAGCAAATTAGACATATATTATTGATATGCGCACTCACAAAGATTTTTAAGGTTTACGAGGTCTTAGTGATCTTGCAGAAAAGTTAGTTGTGACGAAAAAAAATGAGGTATATTAATTAGTTTACAGGCTTGTAACATTGGCGTTAATTCTTCCAGTTGCTAATGCTACAGTAAATAGAGTTTTTTCTGCAATGAAGATCGTCAAGAATCGATTGCGTAATCGAGTGGGAGATCAATGGTTAAGTGATAGTTTGGTTGTATATATTGAGAATGATATACTTAACAATATTGATAACGATATAATTATACGACTTTTTAGGGTATGAAAACGTGTAGGCTACAGTTGTAATAGCGTATTAACTTATTTTCATTAATGATAAATTGATCTAAACATTTTTGAATTCTCATTTTTGACCCTACAAGACAAATTGTCTGGGTTTTGCCCCTGATAATTAATATTTTTTAAGAGATACGAACTTTAAAGACAATATTATTTTCCAAAAAAAAAAAAAAAAGGTTCTTAAATACATAAAAATATGAAAGACCCTTGGTACTCAATGACCATCGATTAGCCACCATCAGATGACTCTAAAGTATATAATGGGGTAAGGAAATAAATGACTATTCAAATCTTTTGTTTAACTTTACTTTTTCTATTTGCCTCCTTATAGATTTGATGACATGTACATTTCTCTCACTAAATTTATAATTTATATCTCAAGTAAAACATGATTCCTTTACTAGTATACACGAGCATGAAGTACATTTTGTTACCATAATAAGAATATAAGCATGATATGTTGACCATAATAGAATTGTACTATAATATATAGAAGATTGACATGGATGACATTATTTTTTTCGGATGGGGAGTTTAAGATCAAATATCTAGAACACCTTGATTAGCCAAATAAAACTTCGAGGATGAATTTTTTCAAGTAGGGGAGATTGTAGTGCCCGAAAATTTATAGAAAAACTTATTTGCACTATATGCTATATTTTTATATTTTGAAAGTTGAAAGGCTAAAGTGCAATTTATTAAACTCTATTTTATTTTGGTCAAATAATTAGATTTTGTTAAAGCGATCTTTAGCATTTCAATATGGGACTCGTTGGATAGTTAGTAATTAATCATGTATGTTAGGTTCGAGAAAAAGTTAATACGTACAAGCAAAGCTTAAGTTATTGAAGTTTAAAGAACTTGTCAATAAATATTATTTTATTACTTTTGTTGTTTTGTGGAAGTGTGCAGCGACGTGGGATTGTTACGATTTAATTAAAATGGGTTTTTTTATTTAAATTGGATAGAAATTTTGGATAAATTTGACTTTCACTTTCTAGAGGGAAATTGTCCTATTATATATATATATTCTTTTATGCAACTGTTTTTCACATAAAAGAAGTCAGATTTCTTTTCCCATACTATATAATTTTTATAAACATAGCAGGTTAAAAATAAAGTTAAAATGTGATTTTGGTTTTGCTTTTCCAAAAATTCGTTTGATCTACCGAGGCAGGATAACGAGGTGCATCTATTTTTTTATCCCATTTAAAATATTTTTTCGTGTTGTTAAATTATTATACTTATGAAAGTTAAAGATATGATACGTTATGTATGATATGGCTACCCGATATCCAATATATGATATGTATTGAGCTCTTACCGATATCTAAAGATATGATGAGAGCATGATATTTTGACACATGTTTTGAATATTTTATTGGGATTTCACCATTATTTTCGTGTCCTATTGAGTATTCTCATATATTTACTATTTTTTCATACTTCTCAAGTTTAGAGAGGGTAGTTGGTTGGCGGGTGATGAGATGCAGGCGTGATGCCAGGATTTATGGAAGTCAATAAATTAATTTCGGTATAACGTGATTGTAGATTTTATTTTCAGCATTGTCTTAGTTTTATTATTCTGTGAATTCGCAATTTAGGATTTGGAGCACGGTTTATTTGGTTATGTTTTTCACATGTCTTAGTTTATTGGTGGAACTAAAAATTTCATGTTGGAATGTTTGTTATGTTTATTTAATTATAGAATGAAATTTTTAGTAACGATCTAAATATTAAAAATTTGGATCTATTACGGTTACTCCCTAAGTCTTGTATGTTTTAATTAAGCATTTGCATATTTAGCCTCCATTTGGCAAATAGTAGTAATAGGTCTCACGAAATGTGCGAATAATAATGAGCAATAGTTATATTTGTGTGGTTGAAATTAATGTATGATTTTGACTGAAAATTTATAATCAATTTAATGATTATATCCAAACATAGGCTTATTGTAGAAGACTTGTCAAGTAAGCTATAAGCATTGACCTTGCATTGTTTCATTGAAAAGGAAGCTTCTACCTTTCTTTGAAATGCATTATTGATTCATCCGTGTGTGACAATCACATCAACTACTAATAGAAGTAAATGTTATTGCAGGCAATGTCTGAAGAAAGGGAACTGATTCTAAGTGTTTGAAGTTGGCAACAATGTATATAGCTCAAATTACTATTAACTTCAAGGATGATATAGAGACTAAAATCCTAAATTAATATTAGAGTGTGTGACTTCATATAATGGCCTCTACAAAGAATGAATGTTACAAAATCAATATTCAGCCACCTTCTACTGAGTTTATCTCATGTGATCCCGCGTAGGCAAACGCTACAGAACCCACGAACAAGATGAAAATCTTCCCAAGAAAGTCAAAACAAGGTTTTGGATTCGAATTCGATAAATCTGAAACCAAGCAACCCGAATTGCCGATGATGTGTGGACCTCTTGATTACGCAAAATTATGGAATCTCACCAAGTTGGTTTGAATGCCACAAGAATTAGATCTTGATAAGTTTGAAAGTTGTTCAATTGAGAGAAAAAAGAGAAAGCAATTAAAGCCTTTCAATTAATCAATATGTCAAAAGTTTTTTTTTTTACAATGAAAATAATAAGAGTATTTATACTAGTCCTAAGAATCTAGGTAATTTCGTGCATAATCTCCTAAATATGGTAAGAAATCAATTAAATATAGAATTCTAGCAAAACTAGGAAAATCGCCAAAAAAAAAAAAGCCCGTCTGAAAATAACCATGCGATCACATGGTTCAATTCCATGTGGCCGCATGGAATTGAAGTCCAGTCCCCTTCAACACTCAGCCTAGGTCCGTGCGATCGCAGGGCATTTGTGCTGTGCTGTCGTACAACTTTGGCTCTCCATTCCGTTTTCGTCCGCCTTTAACACGTTGATCCAAGTCTTTTCGGCCTTCGACCCCAACATAAAACTTGTTCCATTTTGTATCCCGAACATGATTTCATCAATAGTTGTCTTGATGAGCAATCCCATCACCTCTTTTACTGGCTTCGTCCTCGCTCGAGTCATTAGGCCGCCCTCGACTATCAACGTATCTTTCTTCGGGTTTGACGTTGGACTTGACCTTGACGCTTGTGGCTCCTAGATCACATCATCCCCTCCCTCTTCGAAAGGATTCATCCTCGAACCTATACCTGCATCAAAGAAAGAAAGATCAGATACATTAAAAGTTACTGAAACGTTATACTTACCTGGAAGATCTAATTTGTATACGTTGTTATTGATCTTCTCAAGCACTTGAAATGGTCCATCTCCCGGTGGCAACAACTTTGACTTTCTTTGTTCTGGAAACTGTTCTTTCCTGAAATGCACCCAAACCCCATCTCCTGGTTCGAATGTAACAATCTTCCTGCCTTTGTTTGCTTGCTCTGCATAGTACTTACTCTTCTTCTCAATTTGTTCCCGTACCTTTTCATGGAGTGACTTCACCAGCTCAGCCTTTCTCTTCCCATCCAAGCTACCTCGTTCATTCATAGGCAAAGGTAATAAATCCATAGGTGTTATAGGATTAAAACCATAAGCAATTTCAAATGGAGAAAATGATGTAGTGGAGTGTGTGGTCCTATTATATGCAAACTCTATGAAAGATAAGCACTTTTCCCAATTCTTCAAATTTTTATTAACCACAGTGCCCAATAGTTGTGTCATGGTCTTATTCACTATTTCAGTTTGTCCATCGATTTGTGTGTGACAAGTTGTAGAAAATAGTAATTTCGTACCCAACTTATTCCACAAGACCCTCCAAAAGTGAGTAAGAAATTTGACATTTCTATCTGATACAATACTTTTAGGTACTCCATGCAAGCATACAATTTCTTTAAAGAACAAGTCTGCAATGTTAGTGGCGTCTTTAGTTTTGTGATATGGAATGAAATGTGCCATCTTACTAAACCTATACATCGCTACAAAAATCGAATCCCGGCCTTTTTTAGTCCTAGGCAAACTTAGCACAAATTCCATTGAGATGTCTACCTAAGGTTCCCTAGGTACTGACAAAGTTGTATAAAGCCATGAGGTAAGACCCTAGATTTAGCCTGTTTACAAGTTATGCATCGACTACAAATTCATTCCACGTCAACTTTCATTTTAGGCCAATAAAAATTCTTAGTTAATATTTCTAAAGTCTTTGCTATCCCAAAGTGACCCATTAGACCCCCACTATGTGCTTCTCTAACTAATAATTCATGCATAGAGCAATTATGAACACATAATTTGTTTTTCCGAAACAAGTACCCCTCATGCTTAAATAACTTATCTATAGCCCCCTTATGACATGAATTGTAAATGTTGGAAAATTTAGAATCATTAGCATACATGTCCTTAGTGTACTCAAAACCAAGCAATTTTGCACTTAAAGTAGTTAAAAGCACATACCTTCGCGACAATGCATCTGCTACTACATTTTCCTTACCTTGTTTGTAACGAATAACATATGGAAAAGTTTCTATGAATTCCATCTAGCGTTCATGTCGTTTGTTTAACTTACCTTGACCCCGCAAATGTTTCAGTGATTCATGATCAGAATGAATTACAAACTATTTTGGCCACGGGTAATGCTGCCATGTCTCCAAGCCTCGAACAAGTTAATAGAGCTTTTTATCATACATAGGATAGTTGAGAGCTATACCACTTAGCTTCTCACTAAAGTAGGCTTTATGTCTCTTATCCTGCATTAAGACTACTCCAATACCTATGTCGATGCATCACACTCAATCTCGAAAGTTTTGTCAAAGTTAGGAAGTGCTAAAATCGGTGCTTTATGCAAACAATCTCTGATAGTGTTGAATGCATGTTCTTGTTTTACCCTCCATTGAAGCCCATATTTTTCTTGACAATCTCAGTTAGTAGTGGTGATTTTGCTAAAATCCTTGAAAAAAGGCCTATAAAAACTAGCCGATCCATGAAAACTCCTAACCTCGGTTATGTTTTTAGGTGTCGGCCAATCTTTAATAGCTTTTATTTTCTCTTCATCTACCTCTACACCACTAGCACTAACCACAAAGCCTAGAAACACAACTCTATCCATGTAAAAAGTACACTTCTTAAAATTGGCATTAAGTTGTTCCTTTCTCAAAACCACAAGTACACATCTTTAGTATCTTACATGCTCATCAAGATTCTTGCTATAGATCAAAATGTCATCAAAATAAACTACAACAAATTTTCTAATGAAAGCATGCAAAACACGGTTCCTTATCCGCGTAAAAGTCCTTGGTGCATTTGTAAGTCCAAAGGGCATGACTAACCATTCATACAATCTATATTTATTTTTAAAAGCTGTTATCCATTCATCAACATCCCTCATGCGAATTTGATTATACCCACTTTTAAGATTAATTTTACTGAAAATACTTGCACCATGTAACTCATCTAGCATATCATCTAGCCTAGGAATTGGGTGACGATACTTTACCATAATGTTGTTGATGGCTCTGCAAGTTACGCACATTCTCCAAGTTCCATCTTTCTTTGGCACCAACAACACAGGTATTGCACATTGACTCATGCTTTCCCTTACATATCTTTTGCTCATCAATTCCTCAACTTGCCTCTAAAGTTCCTTTGTCTTCTCTGGATTACTTCGATAAGCAGGTCGATTCGAAATAACAGCGCCAGGTATGAAATCAATTTGTTGCTCAATTCCTCTAATGGGTGGTAGCCCACTAGGCACGTCCTTCAAAAACACATCTTCAAATTCCTGAAACAAAGAAATAGCCAAACTAGGGAGGGATGTGTTATGCTCCTCAAAGTTGAGGAGTGATTCCTTGTAAACCAACAGTATCAGTTGTTGCCCCTCAACTATTGCCCTTTTCAATTCACTCCCTCTCACAAAGAAATTTTGTTTCATCTTTTTTCTCATCTCGGAAGACTCTCTTTCTTTTCTCTCATGTGGCCCTACTCTTTTTTCATCTTTATTGGCCACCTCACTAATTTCTCTCTTTTTCTCTAACTCCCACACTTTTGTTTTTTCTTCATTTTTCAATTGAATTTGGTCATCATATACTTGTGCCGGTGTTAATGGCGCAAGAGTGACAGACCTCCCATTTTTCACAAAGCTATATTTATTTTTATACCCATCATGCATTGCTTTCCTATTGTACTGTCATGGTCTCCCCAACAAGATATGCCCCGCATGTATAAGTACAACATTGCACATTACCTCATCCTGATATCTACCAATGGAAAAATTAATTAGCACACTTTTTGTCACCTTAAGTTCCCCACATTCATTTAGCCATTGTAATTTATAAGGCCTAGGATGTTTTAACAATGTCAAACCCAATTTTTCCACCATGTTAGTACTAGCCACATTAGTACAACTACCGCCATATATTATCACACTACATACCTTGCCATTGACGTGACATCACGTGTGGAATATGTTTTCTCGCTGCTGCTCCAAGTCATCTGCCTTGATTTGAGGACTAAGAGCTCGCCTCGTGACCAACAACTTACTGTTGCATACTATGTTGTATCTTTTTCATCAATATCCTCCAGTTATAGCACGTCTGCATAATCACTTTCACTCTTAGTTTCCACTTTCTCGCTATCCCACAGAATCATGGTTCTCTTGTTTGGGCATTGGGAAGCAATGTACCCTACTCCCAAGCAACGAAAACATTTGATGTCTCTGTTTCTTGATGGCTGTGACTCCCCCTTTGGCATGGCCTTGCTAGCACTCTCCTCCTTGCCTCTTGGTACCTCAGTTCTTCCTCTTGCAACAGTTCCTTCTCCCTTGTTATTTTCCCACTTCGATTTCCCAGAAGAATTAGAACCCGAAGATCCCGATTGGTACCTTGCTGTCCCCTTTCGCTTCAACTGCCTCTCAACCTTCATTGTCACATGTAACATGTCTTCAAGTTCCACATAGTGCTGCAATTCCACTGTATTTGCAATGTCCCTGTTCAATCCACGCAAAAACCGAGCCGTGGTAGCTTCACTATCCTCCTCCACATTTGCCCTAATCATTAGTGTCTCCATCTTTTTATGGTAATCTTCCACACTCCTGGAGCCTTGATATAAATTTTGTAATCTTTGATGAAGCTCCCGATAATAGTGAGTAGGTACAAACCTCTTCCGCATTATAGTTTTCAATTCCTCCCATGTATTGATAGGTCGCTCCCCACTTCTCCGCCTCAAAGTCACCACATGATCCCACCAAGTGATTGCATAGTCCGTAAATTCAAGAATTGTAACTTTTACCTTTTTCTCTCCTGAGTAATTGTGGCAATCAAAGATTAACTCAATTTTCTTCTCCCAGTCCAAGTAGGCCTCCGGATCACTCCTACCTTTGAACGAAGGAATGGTCATTTTAATGTTACTCAAAATTCCTATCCACCTCGTCTCCACTGAGATTCCTACCTCTTCTTTTTTGCATAAATCCTCTATTTCAACCCCTTCCAATATTTGCATCCACAATCGCATCTTCATCCATCCTACTATCAACCTCAAATTCACTAAGTTCCTCCATCCTAGGTTCTCGTCTACCCTCTCTCCGTGCATTAAGATCACCCCTTCGTGTATTAGCAGGAAATGGATTTTGCCTTCCCCCCGTGCATCTTGCCTATCCATCCGATCCCTTATATATACACATATCCGCTCATCCTTCGCATCGAGTCATCTAGCATGGAAACTCGATCATCAATTCTATCTGAACTCGGATCCTAAATCTAAGTTATTTTTCTGCCTCACAATTGTTCCCTCGAAATTTCACTCAATATGGCTTTTTCCCTTGATTATTCTCACCATTCTGCCTTTTACCACTCATTGCTTTCACCAAGTCCTCAAAAGAACAATTTTGGAACTCAATAAAAAATTTAATCACGTGGAATTCAAACTGATGTGAGTGAGATTACAAGATCAAGGAATTTAGAACAATTTGATTGGCAATTCAGACTAGACAAGTAAAGAAATTGACTCAAGAACGCAAAATAAGAAAGGAAATTACTGACTGAAAATTTAAACTAGACACAAAATAATAAATTAACTCAAGAAATCAGTAATTCCCAAGAACAACAATAATAATAACAATTTTTTTTTAAATTCTAATTTCTTTTTTTGGATTTTTTTTACTGTACAGATGAACAGTAATTTTTTTTTTTACCCTTAGGATAGAAAAATCAAAAACATCACTGACGCAACAAACAAAAGTTTATTTTGATGCAAATTGAATCCAAAAACAACTTTTAATATTTTTTTGTAATTTTTTTGGATTAAAGACTCTAAAATACTAACTAACTCGAAGAATACGAAGAACAGTAAAGAAAAGGAATAACTGACTCAATAAGAATTAAAAAAGAGATATAACTTTGGATTGGAGCCAAGCTCTGATACCAACTGATGTGAACCCGTGTAAGCAAATGCTACGGAACTCACGAACAAGATGAAAATCTTCTCAAGAAAGCCAAAACAAGGTTTTGGATTCGAATTCGATAAATTTGGAACCAAGCAATCCGAATCGCCGATGATGTGCGGACCTCTTGATTACGCAAAATTATGGAATCTCACTTGGTTAATTTGAACGCCACAAGAATTAAATCTTGAATAGTTCGAAAGTTGTTCAATTGAGAGAATAAAGAGAAAGTAATTGAAGCCTTTCAATTAATCAATATGTAAAAAGTTTTTTTTTTAACAATGAAAATAATAAAAGTATTCCTAAGAATTTAGGTAATTTCGTGTACAATCTCCTAAATATGGTAAGAAATAAATTAAATATAAAATTCTAGCAAAACTAGGAAAATCGCAAAAAAAATAAAAATATATATTTGTAAATAACCATGCGGTCGCATGGTATTGTAGTCTGGTCCCCTTCAACTCTCGGTCTAGGTCTGTGCATCCGTAGGCCATTGTGCTGTGCAGTCGCACAACTTTGGCTCTCTACTCCATCTTCGTCCGCCTGTAACACAATTATCCAAGTCTCTTCGACCTTCGACCCCAACATGAAACTTGTTCTATTTTGTGTCCCGAACACGATTTCATCAATGGTTATCTTGACGAGCAATTCCATTGCCTCTTTTACTCGCTTCATCCTCACTCGAGTCATCGGACAAGGGATCTTTCTTCGGGTTTGACGTTGGACTTGACCTTGACGCTTGTAGCTCCTGGATCACATCATTATCTTAGTGTAAGTAGTAGTTGAGAATTAAGAATGTTAGCGATCAGAGGTAACCTTGACTTCTTGATATTGACATAGTGACATAGACTAAGGTTGTTGTTCCAATCTAGGAGATCATGTTGTAGATGAAGAGTGGTGCTAATTTAGGACAGAGGGTCTTGAATCTATTCAAAAATTAGATTAGACAAAGAAAATGAAGGATTTTGTTATCTCTCAAATTCATTTTGCTTGGCTGAAATATTAGGCTATGATGAGTTTATCATGTGAAACCCACGAAAGGACAGTATTTGCATTCTTAGTAGATTTGTAAGTTCGGAGATATTTGGATTTTCTGCATTTGTT